CTCCTCCATTGGAGTAACCGTAACAACGGTGTCAACAGGTTCAGAAAATTTCGGCTGCGGTTGACATTCAGTGATGTTCAACCGCTGTTTTCGGAAACGCATCGGCGTAGTTTTTATCAAGCCCCGAATCTCTGACAAAGGAACGGCAGAGGAAACAGTTTTCTGCCGTTTCTGTGAGGACTAAAAACACAAAGAAATACATTTGTGCAATAATTCTTCCACATACATACACGAAAAGGTGTGCTGGTCGACAGCAGTGTATGCGGGTACTGACTCTCGGCAAGTCTCCGGTTCTGTTCTGCACACTAAAATGTAAAAAAAATTTTAAAAGGTTTAAAAAAATAATTAGGAAATTCAAATTTACCAGTCTGTCGAAACAGAACAGTAACATTCCAAAAAATAGTATAAAAATTAATGAACTCAATTCTCGACATGATAAGAGTAGAATTAGAACTGAAGATCGAAATACAAAAGATCAGAAGATTAAAGGCGGAAGTCATTCCTGTGGTGACTTGTGTCCGCGGAGGACCGAAAGAAAACCATCTGCACGGACTAAAGGCAATTGACGAAGCGATAAAGATAAACAAACTCAAAAACATGCAATTAGGAACAACCAGAATGTAAAGAAAAATGCCACAACGCGGATGTACTGCAAGAAACTTTGAATAGGTTTCGAGCTGGTGATGGTAATACCATATATGCTTATTTCATGGAGTGTATCTGCAATATCAAAAACAATGTTAATCAATAATCACAAAAAATGTCTTTGCCTGAAAATTAAATTGTGACATTAAATTCTTTGGATTATTATCTGCTAAAATGTGCCCTTCCTTAATGTGCACAAAATGGTTAAACGAGAGTACAATTAAAAGCACCAAGGTTATTAGGTGATTTGGCTCAAATTAGTGAATAAAAAACGACTTAACGTGGCACTGCTTCCGGGAGGCCTTCCTCCCACTGCTCGTAGCTACGATGCTATTAAACTGACAGACCAGAGGTTGAATATGTTCAGTATGTACGAAAAGTACGCAGTCTGCAAACATTTTATCTGTGCCAGATAAAAATTATCTTCATGGCGAATGATATATCCATATAGTGATGTAAAGTATTTTTAAAACAAGTTTAGGGTCAAGAGATGGTCATAAGCGTAAAAAAATATATTAAGCAATCCTTTTGAAACCCACAAAAGTGCTTCTTCCTTAACAAAAATTAATAATGTACAGAGAAGATGTCGTAATCACAGTTAGCAAAGATTTGAAGGCACAGGACAAAAGCATTGTAACGAAGAAATATAACATCAGCATAGAAAAACGGGGGGAAAATAAAACACAAGAAAGGAATGAAAATATAGGAAACAAACGAAAAAGATAAACAAATTAAAACGATTAGATAGAAGAAACTAAATTATTAAGGATGAGACTGGTAACTAAATGATAGATCTTTGAATCTTAGCCGTTAGTTCTTCGTATACACAGGCTGCACCAAATGCAGTAATGAAAACGGCTTCGCGTATTGTGGGACCGGTAGTAGTATGGTCACGGTAAGATTCACATCTTTGCTATCAGTACGATGCAGAGAGTCAAAAGCGTGCTACGTCAATGCAGAACGTTTGATATTAACTTTTTCGAAATCTGCAATATTTGCCAGAAGCATTTAATTTCTGAAGGCAATACTCATAGCATGATAGCCGAAATAGCGAACAATTTGCTATTTCCCTCCATTTCAATTAGAATGGGTAACTTATCAGTTCCTGGTAGCAACGTTCAAGCCATACTTTCCATTCACTTGATCTCCTTGTGAGCGCGTCAGGAACGCAAGTTAATGGTCTTTCAATCTTCTCTGTTTTCTACCAAAATCGCTGGGAAAGTAATTTTCCACTGCATCGCAAAAGTGCCTTGGGGCGATTACGGAGGCACTTGTAACTGCGGGGAATCCTGATCATAACCCTTGACTCTATGGATTGCCTATCAGGTGACCGGCGTGGCTGGCTCGTCATCTTTGGTATATGGCAGATACCACGTCCCGTAATTTGTTGACAAATACGGAACATGATCCTGGTGGTAAACCAACACTCCATTGCTCTCTGCGCAACCATCGGGTAGTTTTCATCGGCTATAGTCGATGAAGCAGTAGCAGTAACCATATTCGTCATTACGCGGTGCCATACATATGTAAATCTTTTGATATCTTTATGTTTACCTATTTTAACCAGCTAGTCTGTTGTAAAGTGTTCATCATACAAGATGTTCCATAGAGTGATGGTGACACTGAATCTGGCCGTACTTAGATAATGATAGAGCTATGGAAACAAACGCATATTACGAGCTAAAGATTTCTGCTTCTGCTACGTCGAGACTGGAGGTAAAGATTATAACTAGGACGAAAGATGTGATGTTAGAGAATATTGTGATCATAAAAATTATTTTTAAATATGCATCACAGGTTTCGAATTTCAGCTTTACAAACCGATGGGCGGCAGCAATAAAACGATGCTTTTCTATGCAAGTTGATGACAATATTAATGAAGTATGAACTCATAACTTGGTTATAAGCATTTGCAACTGTCACTTGCGAAAAACGAACAGGAAAGAGACAGTAGATTATTCGTGATCTTTATTATTTTGATGTCCAAAAACAAATGATATTATTTCGCTCTTCTCCTACTGTGAACTCTATTTTATTCTCAGGGTCAAAGTTATTCAGAAAATTAAGAAAATTAAATGGTTGCTCTGTTTTTAGGCATTTTGAAGGTAAACAACGATAAGCATTAAGGATTTGTGGATGTTTCATAATTTTCAGTGATCATATTCAACCATTTCCTTACAATCCACTGCTTTTACTATTTTAATCACAGTGACTTCGAAAGAAGAAGGAAGAAAAACTTCACCTACGTCGTAAAGCCAGTCCGGATGAACGATGCACAAAGCGAGTTCTTTGGCCATTCGATATTCTTTGCCACTGTCTCGAATTTTACCCTGAAATCGTCACAAGATGTAACTAACGACAAGTGATGGCATCAAAATCAGAAACAACCTGATACACAAAATGCGTACACGACGAATCAAGTTTCCAACGATAGTCACCGCCCAGGTCCGTCACAATTTTGTGCAGCTTCGTCTGCTGATCCACCAGTCGTCTGCTGACGACGATGACCACGCTGTCCAACGCAGCCTTTTTGGCAAGAGATTTCGTAGGAGAAAACGGTGCCTTGTTCTTAACATGCTAAGTTACAAACGGCTAACAATAATTTTTAAGTTAAAAAAGTTAAACAGCAATTAAAGCAGTTTATTTAATTAAAGTCACACACGTTACAACAGCATAATTGCTGTAGCTAAAATGGTCAGAAAATTACGGATACTCGCAACTGAAACCTCACTTTTGCCATGTTTAACTAGCTAAGTAAAGAACAATATTAAAATTTACATACCGATGTATAACAAGCTCTTTATAGAACTTGCCCCTCCCCCCGCATATGATACAACTATCCATAACAAATGTTATACCCATGTCCTGTTACTACCATATGGATAGCTATATAACAGCATTTTAGTAATCACGTGTAATACAATTATACCCTATAACGAATGACTCTGATTTCTGATCAAACATTGTATTAAAAGTCATTCGTTGTTTGACTACGGGGGTGTACGAAGAACCGAAGATGCTTATGAGATAACATCTAAGGAGTACCAGCTCTTGAAACATCGTTCGTGATGAGCGCCAGGTGGCTCTACCTGAAAATTGATAAGAGATGCATTTGGAATTGCAGCTGCTGAAATATCACCTAGCCGTGACATGTTTTAATGCCTCCTAAGCAATTATGAGCAAGCTGGCGGTGCAATACGCCGCTAAATGTGGTCTTCGAGGAGTCATACCATATTGGCATACTCAGAAATACCAGCAGCTTATGACACTTATAGCTTAAATGTCATATGCGGTATGAAAAAGGGTGATACAGTTTGACCCATTATGAACGTGTAAGAGAGACCGGCATTCCAATGATTAATAACGTACCATTCAGAAACTTTTCGTTTAGTGTGATATAACAGCGGACGGTCATTCATATAAAATTATACCACACGTATGTTATACTAGAGTGATACAACTACCTATGAAATAACTATATACATAAGTATATTACATAACGTTATGCAGTTACGTACTTATATTCCCTATGACAACGTAAACATCATTGGTGATGAGTAGATCATATACACTAATTGAAGTACATTTATACATTACACGCTCTTAAATACCATGGAAATATGACTTAATTAAATTGCCGCTAAATAGTATCGCGTAACTAGGAGTTGTTACAAAATACGATAACATGGTTTAAAGCAGTTATGCAAATTTAAAATTAGCGTTATCTACCCCTGGGCAAATATTCAAATATATGTGTCTAGTTTAATATTAGGTGGATCACTTGGACCGCTGATAATCAACGACGAATTGCGCCGTTCGCAATATGGTTTCGAGCATTCTCTTTCCAAGCGCAACTCTCCAAGCCTCTGACATAATCTTTCCACCGTTGGGCGACTAAGCAGCCTAGTTTCCCGCCTGGGTGCCAGTCCATGATAATTGCCGAACACCTAACATCGGGGAGACGAGATATGTGCCCAATCGATCGTAACTCCTCCTTTATGAGATCGATGACGACATCCTTCACTCCTGTTATCTGGCTGAATACGTGTTGGGGAAGGTGAGATTCATAACAATATTCTTCCGACGGTTCTATCGGTGACAGAGAGCCGGCGCTCTTCGGCTACAGTGAGTGACTATGTTTCACAGGCATACAACATTTCTCCCAGGACGGTAGAATTGATAAGGTGGACGCAGGTTTCCTTGCTGATGATATTGATGAGGATATCCTCGATGAAATGGAACCAGCGTCAGCCAGCTTTCTTTCCCCGTTGAATCTCTCTAGCCCCATTTTTCCGCGTGCTGATCTCGACTCAGTTAAATCTTACCGTTTTCTTTAATATTTCCGCCATTTAATATTACCTGGCCCTTCAGCAAGGAATCCGATTGCAGCTCGTCATCTTTGAGACCTATGGATGCCCAATTCGACTAGTGCACATTTTCTAGCGAGCTCTTGCCGCATATTTTGTAGCTCCCTGGCATTTTCCGACACAAAAACACCATCTCATCAGCGAATCATAGGTTACTGAGTTGTTCATCAGTGACGTTAATCCCAATCTTTAAATTTATCCCCTGGAACATACTTTCCAAACAGGTAGTAAAGAGTTTTTTGGGAATACTGTGTCCCTCGTTTCACGCTCTTCTCTATGAAAGTCACGGATGAGTGTCGAAAGATGCTTGTGAAGCAGGCAGAGTTTGCTTCCTTTAACAGGCTGATGCAACGAGTGCTAAGATCATGTTCTTTCTCGCAGTCGATGAAGGCGGTGTACAGAGGGAGCTGGTATTCCCTCGCGCAGTTGATTGGTTGACTCAAAGTAGAGTACACAGTTTAATAAACGGAATAAAAAGGATCTAATTTGTTGCAGACAATTATCCAGAAATATTGTGAACGGAAAAACCATACACTGAATTGAATATGTCTTCTGCTTGTGACAAGTACGCAATGATCCAAATCATAATGTTACATTCGGTATTTAAAATGTTCTTTAACTGTGCACAAGTTATTTACTTTATCTTACACATAAAATAAACAGTATGCGCGTCTAGTATATTTTCTTATACAACCATGTACGTAATCACAGAGCACATTACCGTAATTAACTAAATTAATACACAGCAGCAGACGGATTACGTCATGTATTCGTTTTAGGTTTTCAAAAGACCGAGAAAAGCATACCATAAATATAATGGCAGAATAAAACAGAACTTACGGCTATGTTAGGACGTTGATCTGCCGCAGTGCTGGGAGTACTGAAGCAAGCCTCGGCCTCTTCCGTACATTTAACAGCGCCCAAAAGCTGCCGGTGAATGAACTCGTCATACTCCTAGAATATTCATATAAACTACTTATAAAGATGAACAAAACAAAAACAAAAATCCACTAAATCCGTTAAGCCATTGGTGGATAACCAGGACAAAGACAATGTCATGTGCAACTTGGTGGAAGAAAACTAGGGTACATCATTTATTTCCATATGGAATATAGAAGTTCATCACAATATTGTACAGGGAAGAAAAAGCATATGCAAAAACACTTATCCATTACCTCAAATTTTTTCACGTACAGGCACGCAGGGTAATGTACTTTTCTGTACCTGTTTGCTTACCGGACGTGTTTGAAATCCAATAGACCATTCAATTTTCAACACAGTATATTCTTTACAGACGCCTGATATTCATAAAGACAACAGGAATGCCTCGTCAAAAGCGCGCAAAAAAGTGCATATTCAAAAATACGTGAATATGTTCTATATTTGAGAAATATGTCAGTATATGCGCAAGTATATATTCATATACTTAAGATAAGTCCTCGAAACAAACAAAGAAGACAGCAAGGTATTCCTAGACATACAAAATGTATCTGGTGGAATAACATGGCTGCAATATGAAAAAGAAGCTGGTGTCAGAAATATGTAACATCTATCGATTGGAAAGTAGTAGAAGCAAAACTAATGGCTCTGTGAGCAGTCTTTGAGATAAACAGCCTTTGGTTCATCACAGGCAAGTTGGAATACACAGCGGAAGAACAGAGGGTAAGTAAACGAATAACTGAAAATGGTTTCCATACATTCATAAGAATCACTTTGGTCGTAACGCTAGAAAAAAATGTGACCGAAAGCAGTTTCGATGACTGGTCCATGCGAAAACAAGGCATGACGTTAGAAATGTGATCCATGGTTGACGCTGCCATGGAAGAGAAGAAATGAAATACCGAGGGAAATACGAAGGGAAAGAAGGGCATGAAACAGCGAGTACTGATCAAAGTTTTTATGCAGAACAATATCCACTCATCGAATGTTGCTTTCCCAAACTTTGCAATTGCTTCGAATAATCTCTTAAAAACACTAGTTTTGAATAAAGTGATGAAGATAAGCTGATATGGTAGCAAGTGTAAATGAGAAGAATGAATGCTGATGTGAATGCCCAAACAGCTACTTGCAGAATCTTATGGGATTTTAAGAGCAAGTCAATGTTGGGGAGTGTAAGAAAAAAAACAACAATGTTTCATATTCATAAAAATAACGTTAATCCCTTACTTCTGAGACTAGAAACCTTTTGTTACCCAACTGATCTTCTGAAATAGAGCTACGTCGACCCTTATTCTTCAACAAGCTGATGTTCCACTTCGGATGAAATGATTTGTCTGCATCCAAGAAACTTCTGCTCCAAGACGCGTTACTGCTGGCGGTCGATGTCGAAGCGTCACGCATCGACAGAGTTGTCGAAATGCGCTTTCCAGATGTTCTTGAAGAATCGGCAGCCATCGCAGCTCCAGACTCTGGAAACAAATCAAAGGAACATATGAGATACATGCTTCATTCGGAAACGACAAACCGGTAGACGCATCGATTCCACCAACAACCGCATACAACTGTGGATCGATCCGCTGCTTGGCTAGAGCAGTTTCGACCAGCCAAGATGGCGTGACACAGGGTATGTTCCATTTGACAGCTGCCATATATTTCTCCCCCTCCGGCTTCAACAGTATCAGGTGAGTGGTCGCCAACAGATTCTTCTCCAAGTTTGTTTTCCGAACCAAGTAATCCTGAACACTAAAAAAGAAGTAATGGTATAAAAAGTACAAACGGTGTGGACAAACTCGCCGTAAGTCAATAAGGTCTAAAAGCTTATTTCACAGAAGTGCAATAGAAATTAAATAAAACCCATGTAACGTCAAT